GAGTTCCCTGTTAGCTTGAGGCCCATTGTAGGTCTCACAAATGTACGAACACTTACCGACATACATTTCCCCTTGCTTTAGTTTTCAGACACGAGTTCCCTGTTAGCTTGAGGCCCATTGTAGGTACAGCAGTACTCCTTATGTACTGGAAATGGAAGAATTAATACATGTAGTATATTCTTCATCTCAAAGTTCATCTGTACCAATGAAATAATTTTATAACATTTAATGTACCAACACAGTTCATGTTGGGAGTCGTTCCAGTATCAAAGCGGAACAATAGCCTTTCAGTGGACTCAAAACACTTCATAAAATCTACTAGCCACAGGTGTCAAATAGTGACATTAGATGCTTTCTGCCTTCTTTTTCTATACTAGGATATAAATTGGTAGCCCGAGTTTCCTCTGGTCCTAACACCAGACTTAGAAATGTTGACATATAGGCCTACATGTCTGGTGTGGGGCCAGAGTGCTCTGCTATATGAACACTTGGAATTCTCTTTTATCGTAGAGTTATGAGGTGCTTACAACAAAAATCTACTTTGACACAACACATTCCTCACATATATAGATAAATGGATTATTCATTTATCAAAATCAGCTCTTATTATCACCAACAGCTGCTAAATTCCATTAGTAGAGTCCTCGATTTTCAATCGCTCAAAAATTTCCAACCTGAGCGAATGCTAATTTTGTAGGTCCAAAAACGGAATATATTATTCTTGTCTAGAAGATTTCCAGACCGCATCTCCTTTTTGATAAGTCACTCCCCAATACCAAACGGTGTCAGAGAATTCCACGCTTTCATATAGCAGTGCGCTCTGGCCCCACACTTCTTCCAATTCAAAGGTTGGTATAGTTCATTATGAAATTTCAGGGGTGAATGAGTTAAAATACCAACCTGCAGCACAGGCACTAGCCTTGTCTGTCAATACACCTATATCACAGGTACTAGCCTTGTCTGTCAATACACCTATATCACAGGTACTAGCCTTGTCTGTCAATACACCTATATCACAGGTACTAGCCTTGTCTGTCAATACACCTATATCACAGGTACTAGCCTTGTCTGTCAATACACCTATATCACAGGTACTAGCCTTGTCTGTCAATACACCTATATCACAGGTACTAGCCTTGTCTGTCAATACACCTATATCACAGGTACTAGCCTTGTCTGTCAATACACCTATATCACAGGTACTAGCCTTGTCTGTCAATACACCTATATCACAGGTACTAGCCTTGTCTGTCAATACACCTATATTAAAAGTTCTCCTACCTTTAGTTAGACCTACATTTTTATAGTAAATATTAAAAAACATTTACAAGCCTCTGCATAAAATCTACTAGCCACAGGTTTCAAATAGTGAAATGATACACCATAGCGCCGCGTTAACAAACCTGAGTTCCACATTTGTCGCATTCTTCCACAAACATGTTGCCATGTAGTTCAGACAGCCGATTTCGAGGAAATCCTGAACGTATCTGAAGACCATCGACATTCTGACTGACCACATACTTGACATAACCTGTTTACATAGACAAAAACATTTCAATATACTTAATTCATTTGATTGACAACATAGGAAATATAATCAAAGAACAAAATATAATGGTGAACAGTTTTGATTTAAACAATAAACTGCTCAAATAGTTTAATGTGACACATCCAAATTAGCATTATGAAGCGTGCTTCATGTTGAATTGCCATTTCATTTTGGCCATGGAGTTTAATATCAATGAAATCTGAATATGGTAAATATTAGTTATCATAAGTAAATCTGATGCTACTTTAATTTTAAGGCAAATTGATTCAATCACAGACTTGAAAATAGGACTATAAATGCAGCAGAATTGAATACTGGAAAAAAATCAAATTACCATCTAAAATTCTTAATGAATGGATGACACTTGTAATCAACATTTATGAATATATTCCAATTCATTTGAGATGTAACACGGCATTCTATTAGTCAATCAAAATAATTTGCAACAACATAATCATGATATACCGTCCACAAATATCTCATGTGCATATATATGAAGCCTGGGTAGTGATTGTTAATGATGTCAAGAACAATACCACGACCCTGAAAGGTCAATGTCAATCTGGCTCAGTTTGATTATTCCTTACATCACCTATTCACTACAAAGAGACCCAGATTTTGGCGAAAATGCACAAAAACATCTTAAAACCCTTGTTTCTTTCAGTGAACTTAGCTAATATTAATTAGAATGGGAATAATCTTACTGTATTTAGAAATTTTCCATCTGTATCATGAGTATACCCGTTCTGTCGTAAATATTCATTTTATTGGCTCTGCATTTCTTGACAGTTTAATTAAGATATACCACCGCAACTCACAAAATATGGTATGGTATGTTATCCCCTTAATATTCATAGGCACAGAAATTTTAAGGCTTTTTCATTGATAATTTTAGGGCTTTTAAAAGTCCATTATTTTTAGGGCCTTTGAAAGCCTGCTTTAACCGTCCATGCCTATTACTTATATACTGTATACGTATTAAACATACTCTTTGGGAGACACTAGCCTATTTTTAATTGAACAAAAATAAGTTAAAATTAGAAAAAAATGAGGTTTGAGTGATTTTGTGTAACCATAATACCTCTTTGAAATAAGTGATGTCAGACTTACCAGTTTTTTCCAAGGCAACCAAAGCCATGTGGGTGCGGGTAGGGCGAGCGTTATCAAACGTTACACTAACATTGGGCTTTTCACCTCTTTGTTCTAACGTCCAAACACCTGTGTTTAACAAATAAAAAGAATGATTAAAAATGTTTCCAAATTTCTATCTGAGCTTGACTGTCTCGTTTCAAAAGAATTAATTTTATGTTGTTTTTTTCTCCTTATTAATCAAGTTAAAGTCATGGATTGGAAACCAAGGGGTTAAATCATGTAGAAAGAAAACGTATGATAATACATACCTAGTTTGATGGTATTTTTAAAATTATATATATTCTGATTTATCGACACATCCGTATATGTTTATTCCTTAAGTGTTTGTTTATATAAATCTTATTCACTTCTGGTCACACTTGTTATTACTGTTAGTAGTTTCTATACCCACATTGAACAAGTTTATCATCCCCTGTTCTGAAATAATCCCTTAAACTCTGTTTTGGTAAATGAAACAATTCCAAACAAAGTACGAAATTTGATCACCATGATGTTGATTCAAATTTAAGATAATTGTTCACATATTGTCAGTTTATATTTACTGTACTGTGAAACATATCAACAAATAATGGTAGCAGGATTCGAAATTCTTTAGCATCACAGATATTAGAATGAGGTAACAAATATACAGTAAATAGAAAGGTAAAATTCTCTAAAAGTAAAATACTGAAAGTTTTGCAAAGAAGAAGATAGAGAAAAACTAAATGTAGATCTTGGCAGAATCTAAACATGGACAAAACTAGAACTGAATTACATGTCAATTGTTCAGATCGTGACTCTGATATATGTAGCCCTGTATTTCATCACCTTTTGGTCCTCTGAAGTCAGGAATGCCAGCTGCTGTACTAATGCCAGCTCCAGTGTGTACCACAAAGTGACTGCTGGCTTTCACCCATTCAGCTAATTGGCGAACTTTTTCTTGGACTTCTTCAGTAGAGTCATGCTTTTCTGGCAAACCACAACGTCCTTTGTGATCATATTGAGACAAACCATCTGAATAATTAACAGACATTACAAAAAATCTTCCTCTGTAGTTTTAGTTGGTGAATTATGATTGTGTGATCAAAACTTCTCTGTGTTGGTGAGGGACTTCTAAGCTCTGAAAAAGAAAATGTATTACTAATATTTACAAGGCTAAGAAAAGATCAACAAACAAAATTGTGAAATTCTGAAATACCCAATTCTTTCTCATACTTTGATTTGTTTGTGTTTTACGTCCTAGTAACAGCTATGGTCATTTAAGAACGTGCCAGGTTTTGGTGGTGGAGGAAAGCCTGTGTACCCGGAGAAAAACCACCGACCTACAGCCAGTACCTCGCGACTGCCCCACGTACATGTAGGCCTCGAACCCGCAGCCAGGTGGTGGATGGCTATATAGGTAGCAGAATGTTAGACGCCTTAACCACTTGGCCACCGCGCCCCAGTGGTGGAGGGCTAGTGGTAGCAGAATGTGAGACGCCTTAACCACCTGGCCACCGCGACCCAGTGGTGGAGGGCTATATAGGTAGCAGAATGTCAGACGCCTTAACCACCTGGCCACCGCGACCCAGCGGTGGAGGGCTAGTGGTAGCAGAATTAACCACTTGGCCGCCGCGGCCCAGTGGTGGAGGCCTAGTGGTAGCAGAATTAACCACTTGGCCGCCGCGGCCCAGTGGTGGAGGCCTAGTGGTAGCAGAATTAACCACTTGGCCGCCGCGGCCCAGTGGTGGAGGGCTATAGAGGTAGCAGAATGTCAGACGCCTTAACCCCCTGGCCCCCGCGACCCAGTGGTGTAGGGCTAGTGGTAGCAGAATGTCAGACGCCTTAACCACCTGGCCACCGCGGCCCAGTGGTGGAAGCCTAGTGGTAGCAGAATGTTAGACGCCTTAACCTCCTGGCCACCGCGACCCAGTGGTGTAGGGCTAGTGGTAGCAGAATGTCAGACGCCTTAACCACCTGGCCACAGCGACCCAGTGGGGGAGGGCTATATAGGTAGCAGAATGTTAGACGCCTTAACCACCTGGCCACCGCGGCCCCTCTTTCTCATACTCGAGGTCTATGATAAATATGCATACTATACTTTTGCCTTTTAAGCATGGCTTGATTTTGAAGCATTACACACATGCATTATTTTTCTTCTTTTATTGCATGTAATAGACACATTTTTTAGGTTTGAATTAGATCTTACTAGCCCAGAACCATTTTGTAATTTTATATATACAATTAATAATAATTTGAGGTTCTGATATACCGCTTTATCAAAACCTAGTTTGTAGGTCGTCTCAAAGCGTTTCACAAATTATTATCTGTGGTTATAATTAAAGCCTTTGCAACCAGCCAATATCTTTCTCAACTCCATGGGGAGCATACAGCCGGAGCTGCCATTTCGGCGCTAACAGCTAGCATTCAACAATTCTAGCAATGCCCAACCACGTACTCATTTACGGCTGAGTAGACTGGAACAAGCGGAGTAAAGTATCTTGCTCAAAGATGCAACACATTGCTGTACCGTGACTCGAAGCTGCAACCCTTCGGTCACAAGCCCGGCATACTACCACTAGACTACCGTACCTCTGCATCTTGTAGAGATGCAAAGGTTGAGGCATATCAAATTGGCCACCGAGCAGTATTCATGTAACTATGTACAGGTAACCTTCAGCTTCTTAGTTTCCTTTCCTCTGCTCTTTCATTTCTTCTCTTATTTTTTCCCTCAGCCAATCATTCATTCATACCCACTCCAATGATACGATGTTCGTATTTATTGAAATGTTATTAAAATGATATATTTATATCCCCAACAAATCCCTAATATTTACGTACATACAGTTGTATGTATATACACACATGTATAATTATAAATGCATCAAGACATGTGTATCACTACCTCCTGTACGTTTGCATTTGGATTGTTAACCTTATTCATTGGACTTAAGATTAGATAAAACAAACAGGGATATCACTTATTATTTGTCAATTTAATTTTTGTTTTTAGCTAAAGCTTATTTCTAATTATGTCACCTCTATATTAGATAGTGCTCATCTTTTAATATGTTTTGCTAAATATTTATTGTGTAACTGTGCATGTCTTTTATGTGTTGTTTTTCATAAACGACCTACCAGACCATGTTAACTGTAAAGAAAGGCTTTTGCAGACAATTGTCTACTGTATAGAGATATTAATAACCAATCAGATGGAACATCACTCCAAAATGATTTATCTAACCTTGAACAATGGGGAAAAGTTTGGCAAATGAATTTCAATCCGGAAAAATGTAATCCGTGTATCTAAAAAAACTAAACCAATTTCATTTGATTATAAACTAAATAACCATATTTTAGAGTCTGTAAAAGAAAGTAAATATCTAGGAGTAACATTTAGTAATGATCTTGATTGGGGACCACACATCATTAACATTACATGCAAAGCCAATAAAACTCTTGGCTTTTTGCGTAGAAATTAAAAAAAACCTGTACATATCACTTGTGTGTCCAGTCATGGAATACTCCTCATCTGTTTGGGATCCATACAAAAAACATCAAATCACTCAGGTTGAGCAGATTCAGCGGAAAGCAGATTCAGCGGAAGGCAACTAGATATGTATATAATGATTATACAGATCGTACCCCTGGTGCAGTTACTAATATGATAAAATCCTGACCTTAAAATGGGACAGTTTACAAAACAGAAGAACTAAAGCCAGACTTGTTACACTTTATACATTTAATTGGGGGTTGGTCCAAGTGCCTGAAGACATTTTAGTCAAATCAGACAGTCGCACTAGAGGTAAACACAAATTTAAACAAATTTCTACTTCTAAAGATTTTTTAAAAAATTATTTCTATCCCGAAACAATAACAGACTGGAATACCTTACCAGAATCTGAGTGCATGACTCCTTCCCCTGAATCCTTCAAAACTGGCATCTCCACTTTAACATTTGAAGGGGTCAATTCACAATACTAAACCATAAGGCCACTGTACAATTTGTATATATGCTATAATGTTAATCTTCAATGTTTTTATTTTATTAATGTTATTCACTCATATTATATGAGAATACGTTGTTATATAATATATAAAATTTTAAGTCCATTTCAAATTGTACATAGCGCACAGTTCCAGGACGTTTTACACTCCTGTTACAGGAGTCTACTCCCGTACTTGGGCGGACCAAGTCCAGACCCAAGAAGGAAGAAAGAAACTGGTGGTTCAGGGCAGTTTGTAGTGAGCTGTACGAAATCGGACAATAGCCGCTTCATGGAAACCGATTGCGACTAATCAGTTGAGGTAAAAGCTCTCTTATGATTACATTTCATACTTCGAATGACAATAGATGGAAGAAAATCAGAGAATTAAACGAACGTTTAATCCAAATACTAACCTCCTCAGCTGTTTCCAGAAACAGGATGTTGACCCTTGCTTATAACTTTAAAAGCGAAAGGGATGTGAGTGATCCGGAATTATAAACTAATATGCATGCACATTGGTTTAATAATTTTGGACAAAACAAAATATCAAAAATAGTTATTATCCTTTTGTTAATTTTTTCGACATTATAAAGATTTAAAATAAAATAAATAAACTAATTATCGTTTTGACATTAATTTCAAATATTGCTTTAACCCTTTTTCAAGATTTTACTAAACTAGGACAAAGTTTTTGCCTTTACTCAGTCTTTATTGATTTTTTTCTCACTTGTTAGGAATTAATATCGTATTCACAGTTAGATAATCCCATGTACAAGTGACGGGAGAAAATGAAATTGTCTTTCATTGAGGTTATACGAGTTGCGACCCTTCGTCCGTTAACGATACATGTTCGTGTGGTGTCACAGAGGATTGTACCAACCCTTGGCCTCTTTCTGCCAGGAGTGTATTTCTAAACGGAAATAGAAAGTTCATCCCTAGTTGAAAATCAAATGTAGGGAGACAGTATCACAATTTCCGCATATTCTAATGTTTAATATTAAACTGATGAATATTGTATGTTTGTTATTGACAGAACAGTGTGTTCTCTCAATATTTAAGTATTTCAAAGCAATCCAGGCATTAATTCAGGTTTGTTTTTATCAATGAGTCACATGTGTCCATTTTTCAGGGGTGCAAAGAGCATGAGTGAGCGTAACCCCTGGAGTATCGAGGATGTACTCATTCATTCATGAACAAAACACGGTGAAGATGTCTGAAAATACCACGGTGTGGAAAGAGGTCCGATTAATGGGATATGGAAAGCTTGCTACACTAGTTGCGGAAAAATAGAGAACTACTCTGATTCCAACAGACTGTTTTGTTTGTAGTAGAGCCTTGGAGGTGGTTACCTTATGTGTAGCTCATAACCAGTCTGTTTTTCTTGTGATGTTTCCAGTGCTGCAGATTGTTCATACTGTTTATTTTTTCCATTTGCTAAACTCTTTTTCGGAGTACATGCAATTTTTTTTTATAATTTTTGCCGATAGACATGTAGCTATTTTTCCTTTTTTCTTTTCTTGCCAATATCAAAATTAAATGGGTTAAGGTAGTGTATGTACTCTCAATCTCAAGCCCATAGCGAAAACACACTAGAACTTTCGAATCTTTGTATTTAACTATGCGTTTAAGCAATGCCGCTGCTGACGGTCTAAAGTAAGAGAGCGTTCGGATTATCAAAATAGAACAAGTAGAAAATGTCGCGTTAATCAGTACAAATTCACAATTTCAAAACTCCAAAATCAATTATTTTTATTCGAGCAATATGGAGAAAATATTATTCTGTACACGTACTTGATTCATTACAGAAGTACTATATCATAGGACAAACATTAAAATTCTCTCAAACAAAAGATGAGTATTAGCGACTTAACATGCTTTGGTAGTCTGTTTCAAATACGTTTCAATACAACCATTGGCTTTGAGGGTTTATGCAGATTTCTGCTACATAATTATTAAAACTTTATTGTGATGGATTTTTTTTTATCAATTCACAGAAGTTAATCTGTAATTAGAGGTAAAAATCGGTCAATGAGGACTTAAGCCCCTCTCGCGCATGTTTGGGGACTTACCTGTGTAACATTTGTATTTTTGTTTGCATAACTAAACGCAGTGTTATCATATCAAGGGGAATACTTGATATTGTAATCTACATATTATTTATGAAGATATTTAAATTCTGGAGGCCCCAGCATGGATCCTTGGGGCACAACGTTTCACATTTCTCAACATTCGCTGGTGTTTGTCTCCAGCCTTACCCAATGGCTCCTGACCCCCATGTACATATATGTAACTCTGTAGGAGACGAACGACCAATGTACCATACATATCTGTATTCAAAGAGTTTCCCGAGGAACATGTCATTTGGAAGACTGTTGAGATGCAACAGGATGATCGTCAAAGTCCCTCTTCCTGCCCCCAGAATGCGCAGCAGGGCGGTCTGACACCAAAGTACCTACTGTAGGCTGAGAAGAATAGGGTGAATAATATTTGTTTCTCTTTTTTATTAAGTATCTAAAAATGTATGTTAATATTTTAGGTTTAAAATGCATCTTTTTAACATTTATAAGGGTATGCAACACAGTTCCGTTGAAACATATTCCAAAATGCGCGTTAGCCCATCTTGGAGAATATGTTTGAACGGAACAGTGTTGCATACCTTCATAAATGTTAAAAAGATGCATTTCCAACCTTATATTTACATTCTATTACTCGACAACTTTTATTATTTGAAATTACGAAAAGAAATCTGTTTTCACGTTAAAATGCAAAACACCGTCATGAAAACAACATTAATTGAACAGCCTTTTTTCGCGGGAAAGATGATGCGTTGTCAGCGGTGACGAAATACACAGATATATCCACTTTGCATATTTTTTGATGATTTAATTTATATTACCAGCATATTTAACAAGCATTGATTATCTTAAAAATTGACAGTAGATCTTAATTTAAAACATAAATACCTTGTCAAATATTTTAGTTGCGGAGATACCTGACCGTTAAAAAACGGTTGTGCATCGGCGACGCTTTCAACGAGATAGAAAGTGCATCCGTGAAATGTGGAGTTTCCTAAGTTTCCTAAGAAACCAGATGACGATTGAAAAGATGCTGTTGGCTGAATTACTGTGTAGATCGACTGTGTCAACAGGACAAGCTCATCGTTTGAGCATTCGGCATGTGTTACTGTCGATGAGGGGACTGGTCGACGAGCCGGGACGATTTCACCTGCTTCGCCACTTGCAACGGACGCTAGTGTAGAGGACAGTGAATTATTCTGTTCTATTGAAACGGAGCTGTTATAGGATCTAATAGCAGACACGCTTCGTTGGCCCGACATAAGCATGTTCCATATTCTAGGGACACGTCCGCGACGTCGCTGTCAGACATATTGGCAGGAGCACAGGGGTTCGTTACAAATGTGTGTGGCTGGGGTTAGGCCTAGCACACGACGTATTATAGACGCTGAATAAGCGGACTTAAATTTCCTTAACCAAGGGGATTTTTTGTTGATAATATTAATAAACAATCTCGTTAAATTTTTTGGTTTGCTTGTGTGTGTGTGTGTGGGGGGGGGGGGGGGGGGGGGGGGTCAGTTTAAATTCAGTTATAAATATTATCATCAACTGATTATTTTATCTGATTATTTAATCATTATTAAACAGTTGCTCCTCCACGTCATAGAATTACGGTCAAAGACTATACCAGCACCAGGGATGAAACAAACGTTTGACGGCTGAGAAAAACAAGATTTTTCATCCTTATTTAACTACCCCAGTTTAAATGGCCCGCGGGTAAGTCTGTATGTGCTCTTTACGTAACAAGAATTACCAACGTGATTCAATCATGGTATTTAATGGAATGTCTCTGAGGTATGTACTTTACGTAGCTGACACACATAACTGAATCCCGTACAGGGCTAGTCTGTGTGGACATAATGACACATATTTATGGACCCCACCACGATGGTCCTCAGATGAAGCCTAACATAAACGGGCCGTAATGCTGTAACGAACTTCAGAAGACCTACCTGATCTGTCTGACTCTTTTGCTTGACGTTTGTTTGATAGATACCATAAGCCTTAGCTAAATGCGGCATTAATTTAACATGTATTTTACGATCCAGTTACTAAATTGGTAGAATGGTTATGGCCAGTCCATGTAAAAACCCCTTTTAATGGCTCAAGTTATAGGTATATGTTCCCAAATGTCAGTTTAGTCACCATTTCCATGCGTCATCAGAAATCCTTTGGGATCACCATGTTTGCAATCTGATTAAAATCATATGTTTAATGGCTTCGTTAACTTCGTACTACGCCTGAACATCTGAGTGTGCCGCGGTCAGGGTCACGTTCAGGTGACCTTTATATTTATAAATACTCATTAAATTTTGATCAATCAGAGACCCTACTTCAAAAGGGGCGATCGGAGTTGTAACAAATATGGCGGACATTGATGAGAATGATGCGAAAGTTCTGAAGTTATTTGAGATTGATCGTCTGAAACCCGAACAGAAAAAGATATTCGAAGCTTTATTAGAGAAGAAAGACTGTATGGCAGTGTTGCCTACGCAATTATTACCAAATGGGTACCTTTTCCTTGGCGTCGTATGTTTGGAAAACTAATCTGTTCGATACCCCTCGCTATTTATCAATCAACCATGATATTCCGATTCGCTGGCAAACTTTTGCCAGCGCGCCTCTGATTGGGTCATCTTCAGGTCATTTGAACGTGACCCTGACCGCGGCACATTCTGATGTTCAGGCGGAGCCATGTAACAGATTTTAATCAGATTGACCATGTTTGCAAATGACTCTAAAATTTTCACAGTGCCGTGTCGGCAAAATAACAGAATGCAATCTGTGAATGCTGAAATTATCAAAATACACTGTACCTTTCTTATGATTTTAATGTCATAAATGAAAAATAAAAAACTTTTCAAAATATCACTGCGCAAAATTATCATATTTTGAAAAATCAGCACCGCGTCGCTATTCTTTTAAAGCATTTATTTTGAAATATATAGCGACTCTAAAAGTAACCGTTCATATTGGTACAATGAACACTGACCAGAAATAGAACTTATATAACAAGAGTTTAAACAACTGGGTCCGCATTCATGGAATCGTTCTCATGCTCAAGAATGGATTTTGTGCTCAAACCAACTTCTTGTTACTGTCTTTGATCATACAAACTGAAAACGGTTTATGGCACTAAATCTCTCCGACATTTTTCCAGATTATTGATACACAAGATTTCTATTAATTTATCACCGAAACAGACTCAAAATGGCACTGAGCAACGAATCTGAATTTGACCATGATAACGGTTTCATGAATACGAGCCTTGCTTGTAGGGGTACCTTGATTGCGCTTTTGACTATTCGTTAACGATACCATGGATCTTTGACATCTGCGTATTTGCTTATTTAGTTTCTTATTCCCTATTTGTGCATCTCTGAAATCCTGCTTTCGGTACAAATA